AGCCAACACCTACTACATAAAAATACTATAATAATTTTTGCTCAGCCTTTCAGCTGACAAACTGTTAATTGAAGCGTTATTATTTATTACTATGACTATTTAACATCCTTTGAGGAGTTATACTGTACTTTGCATATATGTCCAATACTTGTCTATACATGCTTTTATAACTCTTTAAAATGCACAAAATTACTGTGTCAAATACATTCCAACACAAAAAATTCACACTATACTTCAAAATAAAAACAAAATTTGCAATTCAAATTCTTTATTTGCTGTTGATATTACTTAGAATTCATCACTCCAGGAAGAGTACTGTACTCCAAAGTTTCTATAGGAGAATAATGTTGTAACATTAGTATAGTTAGAGAATTCCAAGATGGACAAGATGATACCGCTTAATTAGATTAGTTTTTTAATTAGAAGGTTCACAAATTGTATGGTAATAACAGAACAGAATAACAGGCTTCAGATAGGAAGGTAGAGCTCACAAAATCCCTAACAACTCTCAGAGCAGACTTCCTGAGCCCACACAAGGCGCTATCTATAGTTCCCCTGGGATGGCACTCATGATCACTCATGATCACTAACATGAACAGAACAGACCAAGACAAGCACAAACGATCCAATAAAAAATTGGAACAACATTTCCCCCAAAGTTCCTACCCCTGGGAACCCCCTCCAAGCCCCTCAAGCAAAGGTTTCCTAAACTACAATCAGATGTCTACAACAGGAGCACATTAAAATAAGGATTCAACTGTGTCAGCAGCACTTTTAACCTCCAGCAGTGATACATAGCTCCAGGAGGGAATAAGGCTTGGCAGTGTAACACCAACACCTTCTTAGCTGGGTTGAGCCCAGTCAGCCAGAATCATTATTGATCAAGAACCAGTAATCACCTGCGCAAAAAGACTTACATCAGTAATAGCTGCCAAACGTGCTTCAAAACACTGCTGAACTATGAGGCAGAAAACCTCTGAAATCTACAAATTTCATCTTCTTTGAACCTCCTTGACACAGAACAGTGTTCAGTCTGATTATTGCGTGATTATGAGTTCATTTGAACAAAATTACATACATTACTTGTAATTCATTGAAATGTGATGTAATTGGCAGGGGGTGAATACTTTTGCAAGACTTTAATCATTTTAAGTTGCCTGGCTCTATCACTGTCCTACTATTACCACTGTTATTTATCCTCTTCCTATGACAAATCTGCCAGCCATTACTACAATAACATCATCAACTACTATGAAAAATAACACCACTATCCACACTATCGTTACCATTTAGTCTATAGGCGAGATATATTTTTAAATAAACATTGATGTGACAGACATACTGTAGCTTCTTCTCTACACTTTCTTATAAGAGGTTACATACAGTAGCTCCTCAAAATGATTCTTGGAGAAGTCTTTCAAGGGTTTGTGAAACTTAATCAGTTTACCATCAGAGGGAGCACTTTCCCAACTTGTTAAATGGTACTATATGACGGGATTTATTTTTTTATTCTTTTATTTTTAATCTTAATGTTAAAAAATATAAATAGCAGAATGTATTATTTATCATGTGGTTTGAGATTAAATGGGCAATAGCTTCTACAGCTCTATAGTAACTATAGCAGCTCGAAAAAAGAAGGCTCAATTAAACAACAACAAACTCATCAACTAAGTCAAACCAAGCATATCCCTTATCATTCCATCCATTTTTTTCCAGTCCATCGCAGGGCAGACAGACACAACCACAAGCCAACTAACCACCAACATGTCTGTGGATGGAGACTGAAGCACCCTGAAGAAATACAGGCAAACACGGGGAGAACATTCAAACTCCACACAGATAGCACTCTAGGAATTGAACCTAGGGTCCCAGCCCTGCAAAGTGCACTGTGCCGCTGTGCTACCCATCTCTCATCCAAAAAGTCGAATTAACTGAAATGTGGCATCACTATACAATATCTATAGAGGTAAAGCACATAACATCTATACATTGCTGATAATCAGGAAGTGTAACTAAAACTGATATTTTGCATTGCAAAAGTGAGTATAACAATCGAAAATGTTGTTCCAGACCCCATTCCTGGGAGACCTCTATGTTTATGCTCCACTTGAGTTCTTAATCACTGGCTAATTGATTTCACTTTTCTGTTTGGCACATAATAAATTGCCACCCTCCTGGGGATGTATAAAGTTTTAAATTAAAATTAAAATGAGTTTCAACTTGGAGGTCGAAATGGAATTTTCTAAGTGGTACCTATTTTGGACCATTTTTTGATCTTCAGAACTACCCTCAAGCATATGGCCAATTAGTTGCAGAAGGAAAAAAAAAGACCTATAACTCTTATTGTGGGAGTATTGGATACATTGACATTCCAGCATCTGTGTCTGTTCATTATATATTGATCACCTGAGAGCTGTTTAGTTAGATGAAAGGAAAAACAAGTTGAAGAATATGGTGGGGTATTACCCTGTAGTAAGGTATTGAAATTCAGAACCGAGTGCAGAAACACTTAAGTTAACTAATACTCTCAACAAGCAAGCAGTTCAACTAAACTCTTCTATTAACACTGGAAATTCAGAGCTCAATTTGAATGAATTTACTGATAGTGGACTCATTAGGTCTGCAATACCAGGGTTAGGAACCACTGGTATGTAACATAATTGTATACATATCATATTTATTGTCCAGACAACACCTTTCTGAGTAGTTCTATGTATTAAAAGGGATCGTATCTCTAATATTCAACCATATCCCCACCATTCAGGGCTGGTAGCAACTAGAGTTCAGCCTGGAGAGAACATATACAGAAACAAATAGTGAGAACAAAATGTCACATAGAGCACTCTTGGTTGCTAACAGGCATGCACATTTATTTTTCAGCTGGTTGCCATATTGTTTTTATTAAGCATTCTGAGTAGGTGACATTAGAGCCTTGCAGTGGTCTTCTCACTACCACAGTCCGATGTTGCTCTTAGCCTGCTTCAGCAAGTCAATGGATCCTATTTTGTGCAGGCAGGCAAGAGGGTGATTCAATCCCCTCATGTCTGACTGAGGAAAAAAGCAGTGTTTCATTTTTGATAAGTAACACAAAGCAGAACACCTCTAGGGTCCTGTTGTGCAGTTCATTTCACAATGGAAATCAGACCCTCAGGGTGTGAAACACTAGTGTTTGAAACTGTTATCACCTATTGTGAGACTTTTGCGACTACTTTGTGAGGTGTCAGCATTAACAAGGGTCAGCCCTTTTTGCAAGCTTAGAGACTTTCTAATCTTTTCCTTTATATTTTCCTCCTAGACATTCTAAACATTTCCTTTGTATTTGCTTCCTGGAACTCACCAGTTTTAAGGTGAGTCGGATAACCTGTAGGTCTGTTAGAACACATTTGAGAACAAGCAGTTTTTTATACAGTATATGTATACACAGTATACACAAACCTGGAATTGCTAGCTGTTAATCAGTTCAGTGTGAACTCCAGCTGCAGCTGGTGAAGGATGAAAATCGCACATCCCTTCCACAGAAACATAAACTGCCATTTTTCCCACAAAGCCCACACCAGACATAGCATCAAATGTTTGGATGATGCAGCTCTCTCTATTAACGCCCATTGTCATTTCTCACAGCTAACCAAGTCATTACACTGATACAGTAGCACTCAAAGGTCACAGGCTTGTCCAGCAAGTCACAGGGCTCACTGTGACTGAGGATACCTCAGGCCAGCTGTTCTTATATTTATTTTACGTAGTTTTACAACTGATGGCAATTTCTCGTATAACAACAGTCAAAAGAATCAAGCATTCTATTTACATGGGTTATAATAGTGTAAACAGGCACTTGAGAGTTAGATAGATAGATAATACTTTATAAATCCCGTAGGGAAATTGATGAAAGTATTAACCAGTAACATTAAGCCCTAAAACTAATGACTTAATGACTAAAACATTAAGCCCCATTACCTGTAAAGCGCTTTGAGTGGAGTGTCCAGAAAAAACGCTATATAAATGTAAGCAATTATTATTATTATTATAATTTCTGTAAAGGAATTTACAAATACATTTTGCAAAGGAATCTTCGTAAAGGAGTTCATTACAATCTGATTGTAATGAAGGGTTTAAGGATTTTCTGTATTGTACCAGATGTAATCATACAAAACCGACTGCATCTTAGCCTATCGGTTTTAAAAGTCAGTTTAATATCATTTTCAGATAAGTTAAAATTCAACCTGATGACTAAAAAACGATTTTCTTCTTTTTTCTTATGCATATAGTTAACACATTTAATTATCCTTAGGTGTTAACTATGCACTATCAACTGATTTTGACCAACTGCTGAGAACCTTGAATACCCTCAAATTAATAAAGCTGAAAAAGGGCGATTTAGGAAATAGATTTTATTTTACAAAACAACTGATGAATTAAGTAAGCAGTCACTACAAAATTGTAATCAATTTAAGTTCTCTCGACCCTAGTGTCGGGAGTCTTTGCAGCTGCTACTCAGCAATATACATAAAAATATTTCGGATTTACTCCTGAGGTGAGCTCTATACACTACGAAATTAGATGTGGGCAACTAAAATTCTTTGATTTTAACGATCTATAAACTAATTTATAATAATAATAAATTATAATAATAAATAACTTATTCATGCACATATTTTAAAATTAACAAACTGAGAAATGAAGCTTGCAGTTATGCTACTAAATTCCCCTTTCACGACAACATTTACTGTAGCAGGAAGTTAGACTATGCTAGATACATTTTTCATCTTGCGGAGAGGAGAGAGTTTAATGCTTTAATGTTGTTACTATACGATCGTTCCGATTTAACTTAATTTTATTAAGACGCATTTGTTAAGGCATGTTCCTAATCTAAAATTAGATTCATAAAAAGAGCTCTAACTACAAATCCCAGACTAGACTGGCTGCGGCGTCCGCAGTGATACTGGGTGGGGGCTGCGATGAGGTAATATGCCTGTGGGCTGGACCGGAGACCCTGTTTGATAGCGCTTTCTCCCAGTAGCAGCAACAGCAGAGACAGCAGCAGTATCCCCTTAACAGCTGTTTACAGCGACTTGCGTGGGGAACAGGCAGGGCTGTAACACAAATATAGGCGTTGCCAGCATCTACGAAATGTCTCTCAGATCCGAAAGAAAGGACATGTAAATGATTCTTCTGGGAAAGGGATCTTCCTTTTTGTGCCGTGCTGCATTCATTTGAAGGTTTATAATGTGGTAAGCTGTCTCTTCTTCGCTTTATATATTAAACAGCATTGTAAATGTAGACGGGGAGAGATGATGCAGAACGGGTATGCTGCTGATCGGAGCATCATGTTATTGAGGGATAGCATATGAATGCATTTGTATGACAGCTGGATTTATTTAAAAAGAAACCACGGGTTGCATTTTTGTCAGTGAGCTGCAAAGATGTCCAAAGTAAAAAACTGCGAGACGGTCAAAGTGGTCGTGAGATGCCGCCCATTGAATCGGAAAGAAGAAGCGACGGGCTATGAAAGCATTGTTGATATGGATGTCAAATTAGGACAGGTAGCTGTTCGGAATCCGAAGGCTGCCCCTGGAGAGCTACTGAAAACATTCACGTTTGATGCTGTCTACGATGCCAATTCGAAACAAAGCGACCTATATGATGAGACTGTAAGACCTCTCATAGACTCTGTATTGCAGGGTTTCAATGGGACTATATTTGCTTATGGGCAAACTGGCACTGGTAAGACTTACACGATGCAAGGGTTATGGATGGACCCAGAAAAGAGAGGCGTTATCCCAAATTCGTTTGAGCACATTTTCACACATATATCTAGATCCCAGAACCAGCAATACCTGGTGAGAGCATCATATTTAGAGATCTATCAAGAAGAAATCCGAGACCTCCTATGCAAAGACCAGACTAAGAAACTGGAGCTCAAAGAAAACCCAGATTCTGGGGTTTACATCAAAGATCTCTCTTCTTTTGTAACCAAAAATGTCAAGGAGATAGAGCATGTTATGAATGTGGGGAACCAGACTAGAGCCGTTGGGTCCACCAACATGAATGAGCACAGCTCCAGGTCCCATGCTATATTTGTCATTACAATTGAGTGCAGCGAGACTGGCATAGATGGAGAGAACCACATTAGAGTTGGCAAGCTGAACCTGGTGGACTTAGCCGGCAGTGAACGGCAGAGTAAAACAGGAGTCCAGGGGGAGCGCCTCAAGGAAGCCACCAAGATCAACCTGTCCCTCTCGGCTTTAGGGAATGTGATTTCTGCCCTAGTGGACGGAAAGAGCACCCACATTCCTTATAGGGACTCTAAACTGACTCGCCTCCTGCAGGATTCCCTGGGTGGCAATGCTAAGACTATTATGGTAGCCACCTTATCCCCAGCATCCTACAACTACGACGAAACCTTGACCACCCTCAGGTATGCCAACAGGGCCAAGAACATCAAGAACAAGCCCCGGGTGAACGAAGACCCCAAGGATGCCCTGCTGAGGGAGTTTCAGGAGGAGATCGCCAGGCTCAAGGCCCAGCTGGAAAAGCGAGGCATGCTGACCAAGAAGAGAAGGCGGAACAGTCGGAGGAACAGGAAGAGCCTGGATGGCGAGGAGATCACGGACTGCGAGGGCGATGAAGAGATTCTTGCCAGTGTGGAGAAAGATGTGGAAGACTATGTGAAGGAGCAGGAGGAGAAGCTGGAGCTGGAGAAGGCGGCCATTCTGGATGACCACAGCCTGGTGGCAGAGGAGAAGCAGAAGCTTCTGGATGAGAAGGAGAAGATGATGGATGATCTGAGGAAGGAGCAGGAAGCTACAGAGATGCTTACAGCCAAATTCAAGGTAAGACAAGTCTTTACGTGCCTCTTGATGCTCGAGTGAGGGGTGGAGCATCTGGGGCCTCTGGTTAAATTCTAATATATAAACTTATTTTTATGTCACATAAGGGCAAATCACTAGCCTGTACTGAAATTAAGCAAGAATCCAATTGTGGAAAATGTTTACATTTAAACAGTACATTCAAATTCTGTAGTTTATTTCAGAATTATGCATTTGTAGTGTTGATAAAAGTTCAGTTTGCGTCTCATTCTCTTTCAATGTTATTAGTTTATCAGTGGTTCATAACATTTTAAAACTATCTGCCATCATGATGCATAAAACCACTATTATCCTATTAGTGAAAAGAATGTACACCGAACAAGTCTTGTTCAGTCTGAAGGGAGGAATTTGGGCCTGTGAAAGCTCTTACTCATTTTCAGATTTTCCAGATTTCCCATATACCCCTGCGTACAGTACATCTTCCCTCTGTACTTTAAGGCAAATTGACCATTCAGATATTTTCACACTAGTAAATTAATATTTAACTAGCATAATAACATAATTAATGATTTAATTCTCAATAAAATTACTTGACTTTGTATTTAAAAGCACAAGGAGTCTCACTTTAAGACAAACCGCCCATCTGGAGATAAAAAAATAAAAGATGAAAAAAAAAACATTAGTAATCATTGCTATGCAGACATAGTAATCCTTAAAGCCAGACTGCTCAATATGAAGAGCTGTTACTGTATGACAATTAGATGTATTAGGTATTTCCAGACAAAAAAATGATAAAGCTATCCAGAGGAAAAGCATTATATATTACAGCAACAATATCAGACATTCTCTTCCATATTAAAATCATGTTAGTGCTTTCATCCATCTGTCTTTGTTTAAAGGATTCTGAATAATAATTTTTAATGTAAATTGGTAGACCTACTATTATAAGCATAGTTTAGAAAACAAATTAATAAAATATGTTCTAGAGCCTCTTAGTAAAGAGATTCCCACACAGACTGTTAAAACACTAACAGGAACATTATATTTCATGAGTATATAATCTCTGTTTTACCAGCCAGACAAAGATGTACTGTACCTACCTGGAATCCACCTCTAAATCATTTGCTATAGTATAGATGCCAGGGCTTGGTGAAAGATGGATTGATTTTATGGCCTTTCAGGCCTCTGACCTCTACAGCATGGATTTAACTGCACATTGTAGTGAAACATGGTCTTCATGGCCCAGTACACTGCAGGGGCTGGTATTAATACAAAGCTCCATTGTCTACTTTGAGGGCCCAAGAATTGGTAACCACAAACACTGGCTTTTCATCCCCTAAATGTGTGGTCTTTCTGGAGCAAGGATGTAGCACCCAGGCAAGACGTTCCGAAAAAGGAAATGCTGCAAATGACGGGTGTGTAGGTTAGAAGCTCCCAATACTATTTTTTATCCGTAATCACGACGTCATAAACCCAAATAGTTTCTAAAGAAATAAGGCTGTGTGTCTCTTATAGCTTTGAACATTCTCTTTAGGTATTTCAGCAGCTTGACATTTCCTCTCAACCCTAGAGTCTTACGTTAAAATGAGTAGCTGACAAAGATAAACAAAGGGAGAGCGGTGGTTTCCCTGTGTATGGTAGCCATAAAATACAAGGTCTGTCTGTGTGTGGTCATGCTTAAAGAAGCTGCCATGTTAAAGCCTGGATGTCACTTTCGTCTTTGTTTCTGACCCAGAGAGAGGTCAACTCAGTCCCCGTTTATGTGGATCTGCGACAGTGGTGCCATATATCTCTTATGGCTAATGTGTACCTGTCACTTCTCTTTCTGAGTAACATTGGTAACTCACTAATTTAATGGTATTAGAGGCCTTCTGTCCCTGATTGAAAACCTTTTTTATGCATTGTGTTGGCCTGTTTTTCCCATTTGTGTCTAACACCAAGGTATGCTTGATGATTTCATTATTCTGTTCTTGAAATACGTACAGTGCAATATCATACTTGCTGAAAAATAGAAATAAAAACATTTCAGCCGTGGAGCTTTCTTCAGGAGTTAATACAGTCCCACCAAACATGTTTTTCTCCCTTCTTTCTATTTTTTTTTACTATTGCACACTGACTCAGTTCCCTGCTCCAGCCTCTTTCTGTTATTGTTTGGTCTTCAGTCTAACAGATGCTCACAACTGAAATAGTGTCCATACACTGTTTCCTCCTTTACTATATAATAAACTCGGTAGAAATGCCATGCCCCATTGAGATAATGAAGATGGCTTTAATAAAGGTTCATTCTGGTTTTGTTTTTATAGTGTTTACTGGTTGCAACAAACATGCATTGCAGTATATTCTTAACATTGTTGATAAAACATAACTGTACAATTATTTTCCATCTCACTTCAAGGGTCTGAATCCTAATGAATAGCTGCTATAGCATTTTTTATAAATTTTTTACTTAAATAGTACTGCATGTAGAATTTCATGGATTGCTAAAATTATATATACAGTATATCATAACTCTAACAATGTACAGTACCTACCTGAGATAGGTTATAGATAACATTCCAATGAAAGTTATTGAATCGAGTTTTAAAAAATGGTCAGATTTCTTGTAAAATAGCTTTTAATATTGTGCTGTCATTTTCCCGCCATGTTAAGTTAGAAATTGACTGGGCTGAAAGGAGCTTCAGACTGCTCTTAGTTCATCTTTGCTATCAAATTGTCTTTCATTACACCTGTACAAAGTAGGCTATTGAATTATTTAACAAAAGGCCTGTTCTTAATGACAAGTGCCTCTGAAATATTCAGATTGTTTAGAAGATTGGTTATTCATTTTGCCAATTTCAGCTTCACTCCACGTAGCCTGTGTATAAAGGGAAGAGCAAACTATTCACTTTTCCACAGAAACCTTCAGTTAATTAATGGGCCAATTTCATATGTGATAAATGCCTTTGGCATTACTGCAGTGCATAATGCTCCACTGGCTCGAAATTGGAATTAAATCACAGCTTCAACTTACCTACCAATCTCAAATTCACCATCACCATGCTGTGATAGTGGCTTCTCATTGGCTAACCAGAAGATGTCTGTGGCAGAAAGAAAGCTGCAGTCATATAACCTGTATTGTAAATTGCTTTTGGCGTTGTGGCAGGGCTGCTGAATCTTTAAAACCTCCAGGGCACAGGCTCCTTCTGGTAAAACTGTCAATATGTGCAGTACATTATTTAAGCAAAAGAAAATGCATGCAGATATAGGCCTATGTGTAAAAAAGTAAAGGTCTGTCTCCCATTATATTTTTCTTCCTTTGGTGGGGGGGTGTAAACTGTCAGCTCAGCACAAAATTCTTCAGTGCACATGGTGTTTGTGGGTGAAAGGCTTCCGCAGCTCTGGCGAGACGTTGTGATTAATTTCCTGATCCTTCTTTAGTTATTATGACCACCAGATATTTTGAGTCCTTGACTAAGCAGAACTGTGGCAACTCTTAATTCTCTCAGAACACGGTTATTGTTCTTTTATCGTGTGATTCAGCTGATAAATCATGAAACATTACTTGCTCTAAACGCATAATCCAGAGGTGCACAGTGAGTTATGTTCCTCTAGGGCTACACCCCGGCATCTTTGTAGGGCTCTAACCTTATAATGACTGGTAAGAGCTTTAAACTGATCTAGTCACGCAACTAGTTATTCTGGTCATGCATTTGATGAATTTAAGTGTTTTTAATTTAGTGTTTGCTCTCCGTGCCTTGGTGATACAGTTAATGTTAAAGATCCTTTCAAATGTTTTGCAGGTTGTCACCTGTCAATGTTGTATCAGGGGATTCAAAAGGTATTAAAACAAGAGCATATAGTACATTAAAGCAATTCCTCCTATCTCCCACCTGTTCTGATGTTCTCATGCTGCATCTTAAAAAAATATATTTGATTATTTTTAATGCAACACCTAGCCTATGACACAGTTAGCTATTGCACTTTTTTGCACTTTCTTAACCATGTAGCAAAAAACAAATGCTGGGCTTTCACAGGGATACTGGATATACAGATAGCCATTTATCCAGCAGTGTGAAGGTTACTAAAGATGTTTTTTCTGAATTTTTAAAGTATAACCACATTTAGAAAGAACAAGTGAAAAGAAAAGAAGGGCCTGTGTATAGTTTGTGTGGCTTCCAGAACTCCGGAGATGTTGTTGTGCTTAAGCACGGACATACTTTAGCTGTAGAAAGGTGGATCACATGGGGTAAGCAGGATGCTGATTTGGACAGAGAAATAATGTATTTCAGATACCATAGGAAGAAAACCACTACCACTACCCTACACCCACAATGACTGACTCAGGCAAGGGGGCAATCATTGATATGATGTATTATTGATAATACATTTGTTGAGTGGAAGTGGGTTTGTTGCTATTTCATTAAAATGTAAAACAAAGAGTGAGGTGTCGTTTCTTTTCTGGACTCACAAAAGAGAAATGTTTAAATTTGGTTTTTAGGAGGTTAGTAATTGTAGCAGGCTTTTCATTCAGCTCCATGTTAATCTTTTTCCAGCTCTGCAGTTTGACTCCTTTAGTGTTTCATGTTTTGGGATGTAAGTATTTTGTCGACATTCCAGTTTTTTTTGCTGTCTTTTTTATTGAAAAACCATGCCGATATGTAACTATGAGAGTAAATTAACAAAATACTTTTTCCCAGATATGTCTTTTTTTTTAAAAAAAGCACTTAAGCACAATAACACTCTTTTGGAAGCAGTTTCAATCCTCCTTTGAAAGACTGGTTCTGTAATCAAGTTTGAAACTGTTCTTTGAAGTGCATGACAGACTTGCAAGTTTTGGCTTAATTGCAAAAAACATAAGCGCATTGCATTTGACTATTTGGACTGCTCTACTCGACTCCTAAAACATTTCATCAGGCATAATCAATACTGTGAAATTTGCTTCTTGTTTATTATGAGCTTCAGAAAATGCCTTACTTATCTACTGCAATCTAAAATGTTCTTATTCAACAGTTCATTAAGTACACACAAAACTAGTTTCAGAGAAT